ATTATATTGAAGAATGCTGTGAAAAAGAAGAATACTATCAGAAAATTTGTGTGATAATGATGGGCCACCATACTGCTTGTACTCGCTCCATGTCGCCTTCTGAGCATATGGGGATGAGGGTTTTTCCACAAACATTTCTCTACAATCAATAATAACTCGAGTGTTGGGATAATCCTTGAATGAGCGAGGTAGTTTTCTTCTGATATTTTCCTTAGATGGCCATAATAACAGAGTTTCTCTTAGACTTGATGACAGAAAGCATATCCAGGTAAGTGTTATACGACACACTTGGGACTCAGATATTGCAAAAATATCTGAGAGGTGTTTCTGGGTTAATCCCAACCTTAGTCTAACTAAGGTCATCACAAATTCTAGTAATAAGCTCAAAGTTCGTCTAGGACCTGGTTTCTTTTTGTCAGTTTTCTCATAAAACATAGTTTTGCTCTTGCTAGTGCTTTTGTCCCAGTACTTAAGTTTCTTTGCCTCTGACTCGTGAATAGATAATAATAATAATAAATAATAATCTTTTGAAGGTACACCAGTGTAGAATTTTACGGACTCATCGGACTTTAGAACATCTTCTATGAATAGTTCTCGTTTCAAAGCAGATTTGTTGTTTATTTTCTTTGAAAGTTCGTCGTTTTCTTTTTTTAACTTGATAATTTCTTCTTCCATTATTCTTATTTCTTCGTGGTTCAAGTCAGTTTGTGTAGCTGTAGATGTTTTCCCTGGAATCTTAGTAGATGTATCGGTATAAGAAGTAGTTTTTAGGCAGTAAGTGTGGTCAAGTAGGGGATCATCAGTTGAAGTGAAACCAGTTGAGCTAGAAAAACATTCATCGGATGAAGGGCGAGGTGATTTGAATGTTATTGCTTCTTCAACTTCATCTTTGTCGGGTCGAAAACCTCGTTTTTCGCCGGCAGTTTTCCTTTCTTTATTTTCAATTAGATCGTGGCTATGAATAGGATTGGAGTCTGCCTTTAACACCCACTTTCCACCCAAGGTTTTATGTAAAGCGTCACTTGGAAAATGGTCGCTGCATATCCTTAGATAGTTTTCCTTACCGGCCTTTGCTCGACGGCTATTTTTCCGAAAATTCCGGTCATTTCTATTACAGAACTTAAGCCAAACATCCAGTCGTTCTTTTTGTTTAGGAAATCTAAAATAGCCGATGTCTGGCTGTTTGTAGTTACCATTTTTACAAGATGAAACAGAGCAATAAACCATTTTTGCGCTTTATTCGTTATTTTGTACATTTTTCATTGTCTTTTCGGTATCACACTTCACGTGTTTATGAAGAAAACCACTCGTCCACTCTAGTACAGAGTCTGAAAATTGACAAACAACATCACTTATTCAGCCGTTACAATATGTAAAATAACCATAGACAATGTAATTGACATGATATCAAATATAGTATAATTGTATTCTATTAGAACGGTTTTCAAAAACCCGTGAAACAATTTACTTTACGGAACAATTAAAAAGAAGAATATCACTTAATAGATTATTATGAATTTCACCAGTTAATGGAAACACTAATATGATTCTAACATGAACTAGTTATGAACTGTAACTGATGTACCTGGGTTTTGTATGAAAAATAAACAGCATATTCGAAGCATATGATTAAAGCATGCTCGGAAAAATAGTCTCATTTGTGCAAAATTACTGCTTTGTAAACTTGGTAACAAAGTCAAACATAAGCTTCAGCTGCTTTTGTTGTAACTTCAACTGCTCTRTTTGTTGTTCAGCT